AGCAGATTCTGCTCATACGCATGGAGAAGGAAAACCTCAAGCTGAAAGGTGGCGTGCGCTCATAGAGGAGCGTAGAGCTTCTTCTTAATATTTACACATACCTGCCCCCACTAATAGAAAGGTGGCATGCGCTCATAGAGGAGCGTAGAACTTCTTCGTAATATTTACACATACCTGCCCCCACTAATAGAAAGGTGGCATGCGCTCATAGAGGAGCGTAGAACTTCTTCGTAATATTTACACATACCTGCCCCCACTAATAGAAAGGTGGCATGCGCTCATAGAGGAGCGTAGAGCTTCTTCTTAATATTTACACATACCTGCCCCCACTAATAGAAAGGTGGCATGCGCTCATAGAGGAGCGTAGAGCTTCTTCTTAATATTTACACATACCTGCCCCCACTAATAGAAAGGTGGCATGAGCTCATAGAGGGGCAGAAGAGAGCTTCTTGATAGCATTAGCTTGCATGTACCATATAGCATATAGAAATGATAGATAGCAGTAGAATGCCAGAGAAAATGAGGGGTAGAGGATGCAGATGAAGTTGAATTAAAATGCTTGTGGTGAGGGTGCTAAAGATGATGTGTCTAAATGATCGAGGCCTTACGTGCCAAATATTTAGTTAATGTGTTGGCTAGATAATGTGGCTAAAGATAAGGTTAAATGATAGGGCAGAATGGGTGGGGAATATTGTACGGTCAAAGGTTTATGTAGAAGGCACAATACATGGTCTAAAGCATGAAAACTGTAAAACTTGCACTATACATCATAAAACACGTTTAAAATCATTTGGTGTAAAACATGTACTGTAAAACGGCCGTCATAAAACGTGCGTCGTAAAACGTGCATTGTAGAACATGTGTTGCAATACTCGCGTTGCAATACTCATACCGCAATGCCGGTACTAAAACAGCAGCTGTGCAATTTCAAGCCTGAGCAGCTATTTATAATGTGCTGCTAATGGCACGCTTCCAGCTCTTCACGATGAGAAAACTACTGATCAGGTACAGCTGGACTATGAGGACATCACGCCTTGCCTGTCAGACGCCAGCCAAGTGTGGACAGAGTTGCTGAACGCACCAGAGAGGGAGAGCCAACGCATTGATCCTGATAAGCTCCTTAGTGCTGTCAAAGCCGGTGGGTGGTTGCAGTTACTATCGTTAATATTTTCCCAATCATCATTATTGTTTTTGTTAATTGTTATCGTCATCTACAATGTCCTTGTTACTCAGACTGAATAATTATCTACCAGTGGTAATATGTGTAAATTATATAATATGTAAATTGTGTATATATATATGCCTAAAGATTCCCATAAACATGATGCTGTCGTTCTTCTACAGCCCGACAGCCGTTGACATGTGTGCCTCTGTCTAGTACAGGGCGTCAAGTTCCTATTTTTTCCTATTTTTTCCTATTTTTTGGGCAATTCCTACTTTCTCCTATTTTCTGGACAAATTCCTATTTTTTCCTATTTTTGAGGGCTTTTCATTTTTCTGAATCCAGAATTGTATTTATCCTTCTCAGAATGCAGGAATTTACATTTCAGGTGACCCAATTTTCAAAATTTTCCTGGGTGAGGACCCCCAGACCCCCACCCCTTACTTTAAATTAACGTAATATACTCTTTACTATCACAGATTTTATTTCAGTAAAGTTGTTTCTCAGTTGTATGGGGTATGTGTACCCAGAGGGGGGGTCCAGGGGGTCCGGATCACCCTTTTTTACCCCAAACAAGAGAAAACACATAAAAGATAATTTTCTGCTTAAAAATTTGGAATTCCATCTTGCATTCTAGACATCACATCAAAATTACTGCTCAGATGCTCTCAGATGCACAAATTTTTTAAAATTTTCTTGGGAGGTCCCTTAACCCCCCCCGCCCCCCCTAAGGGCAACGTGCTGAAAGCCTAGGCGCCCACACCCGAGCAAAACGGAAATTTTGTTTTTTCCAGGCGTTTCGCGTTCTGCTCGGCGAGCAAAGCGTACACACGCCACCCGACACAGCACACAGCTGAGGAAATAAATACAGAAACACTGCGTACAGCGCCGCTCGTCACATGACATCAAAAATAGGCCATCCAATGGACATCCAATTTTGTGTGTCATGTGAATATTTTAAGGAATTGATTTGACGAACCGTCTGTGGCGTTTCGCTGTGGTAGCAGAACGATTGACTCACACACCCGAGCAAAACGTACGCCTCAAGCGCGAAAACATGTTCCGCGAATCAAACATTTGGCTTTTTCAGCGAAACACGCTCAGCTGAGCAATGTTTTTGTTTCGGGAATCCGCACACAGCCACGAACATTGAGCGAGAAACAAGTTTTGCTCCACGCTTCAGGGTGTTTTGCTCGGGTGTGTGCGCTAGGCATCTAGACACGTCGCATAAGCTGCCTTCGCACCTTTTTATAAAAGTGGCCCTTATTTTCTTACTGGACCCCCCTTTTTCCAAAAGCCGGATCCGCCCATGTATACATGTACGTCATACTATTTTGGAGTAGTCTACATGTATGGGTGTTTATCGATGAATAAACTGCTTATCAATTTTAACATGCATTTCTCATTAAAACCTCCAAAATATTGTTCGCTATGTGATGTAACTCCAAATGTATATTAATAAAACCATTTGTGGTGGATCGGGATGGCTGTAAGGGTGTTTGGGAGGCCATCTAAACGCAACAAATATTCCTATTTAACATGTATTTCTCACACAAAATTCCTATTTTCCTCCCTCTATTTTTCACATGCTGAAATTTCCTATTTTTCCGTATTTTTGAGCGTCACTTGTCACTTGACGCCCTGCTAGTATTGCTAATCGGTCGCGTAAAGAGGTCAGTGGTAATCTCGTCGAGCTCTCGTACATCAGACCAAGGGTGAATAATGACAAATTTGTCATGATTCACTCACAGTTGTCATTATTTGTTGGTATTTGTCGTTATTCACCCCTGATGAGACGTGATGAACAATCGTACATGAGATGTGAAGAACAGTCGTTCGTGATACGTGACTATAATATTAATAGGTGTGCCGCGGAGCAAGCGCGGACAGGTGTGGGTGCTGCTGGTGGAGCAGCACCTGCTGAAGCAGGGAGGCAGCAGCAGCAGCATCTGGGATGCGGCGACCGATCCGCAGAAGCCCTACGATGAGCTGCTGAAGGAGCTCACCTCGCATCAGCATCACATACTCCTCGACCTAGGTGAGCGCGCGTCCGCATGTCACCACGACAACGACACCACGAGCTCGGGGGCAGTTGTCAGAAACGTCGTAAAATTAATGCCAATGTTAATGCTAAAATGGCACTTACGACTAATGTTAATGTTACGAGAATAGCGTTGATAGAGTTAGCAGCGTTGCAGCTATGAGGAAACCTGCGATAACAGGAGCTTCATAATTTTATGTCACAAGGCTGCTGATTGGATGAGAATCGATCACAAAATTCAAATTCATACACTTTATTGTACATCACAATAATTTAAGTTATTCAGGAGTTTTCATTCTTGTAACTTCACGATATTTCTGTCAATGGTTTCTGAGTTGAAGTTAGTGTTAGGACTAATGTTAAGACTAATTTTGTTTCTGACATCGGGCCCCTGAATGTTAACATACACCCGTCGACTGAATCCAACCGTTGCCACTCATAGTTAGTCGGTAACTGTTAGTGTGTGTTAATAAATAAGGGTACTTCTCTCGGGGAACACTCGGGGACTTTTTACGGAGTATTACTTCTTTTACAAAAAGTTGGTGTCACATGTCGCGGAAAAGGTTCCGAAAACCTGGAGCACTCGGAGAAAATTATCTATTACGGAAAAGATCTTATACAGCGCCTGCAATGCTCCCCATCTCCCGCAACCATCAGAAATCTCTCCACCGGGGTTTAAATTGACTACGTCACGAATTTTCTATGGTGTATATATTTGTAAAATTTTTGTTGCCATTTTTTTACATAAAAAGTAAGTACTAATGGGACTAAATGTATCCTCAAATTCTTACCTGATAAGATTGTTTCTCAACTAGTTAAAAATCCAAAAAACCGGGATGATTTGATATTATGATCCTGGCATTTATTGCTTGCTATGGTTTACGTATGAGTGTGTGTGTTTTTACGTCGAACAATATAGTAAAATAGGAAGTATAATGCAGCAATTTAACCATAAAAAGTGAACAGAATTACTTACATTTTGTGAAAAAGTGGAAATATCTTTTTTACTTTTACTATTTATTACTATTAATCACTTTAAGTAACTCGTGAAGATACCAGCTTGTTGTGGAGGTCACACTGGCTGTAGACGTCACACTGGCTTTAAAGGTCACACTGGCTGTAGAGGTAACTAGTAGATGACGTCACACTGGAAGTAGAGATCACCTTGGTTGTGGAGGTCACAGTAGTTGTAGAGGTCACACTGGCTGTAGTGGTCACATTGGTTGTTAAGCTGGGTGTATAGTGACGACTGACAAGGCAGCTTGTAGAATGGTGCACACATGCAGATCTCTATGTACCGACACTGAATCACAGCTTTTACTGTACCGATCAGGACAGGTCGCGTTGTCAGCTCCTATATCAGCTAAATCCATTCACTATGTCTAAATGTCAGTGCGCTCGCATTATTTCCTCGCTGACAAAGGCCTATGATGTACTCACTGTCAGTCGGCGAAATGTTCTAGGTGCGCGTGTGGCGTAGTCTCTCACCTACGCAGAGTTCGCTGCACCGCTGACATTTCCTTCATCATCTCACACGCACGGACGCCTCCGTGCTGCTTTCAGAATGCAAGCACAGCTTTATCCGGTCATCTCTCTCTACCTGCTGTCGACAATTCTCGAATGTCTCTTTAGCTCTCGCACGCTCTGCACACTCGTACGCGTACAGCTAAGTGTGTGTGTGGGGGGAGGGGGGTGCGTCCGTGTGTGTGTGACTGCGCTGTGAGTACGTATGTATGTGCGTGTGCGTGTGCGTGTGCGTGTGCGTGTGCGTGTGTAATTGTGTGTGTATGTGCGTGCGTGTTGTGCATGCATCGTGCAGCTCGCCCCCGCACACACCTGCGCCGTCTCTCGTCTGCCAGCAGCAAGGTGCGTCATGATCACCTGTGTGTCAATCTGCATCGTATTGATTGGAGTTATGAACACGCGCGCGCGCCCATTGAATATGCACGAGGCGTTTTGACATTTCCTGCGGGCGATTAAACGTCGAGTCAAGCGTGTACATGTGAGCGAGCAGCAGCAACGAGCGGCTGCTACGAGCGAGTGGGCAGCAAGCCAGCAAGCGTGTACATGTGAGCGAGCAGCAGCAACGAGCGGCTGCTACGAGCTATGTCGCTGGCAGAGGTATTCACTCTCCGTGAGTGTGACTGTCGCAGCGTCATGGTACCATGACAACGACGAGTGTTGATCAATATGTATCGGGGGCGGCATGTGCGTTGAGCGCAGGCGTGTGCCGTGTGCCTGCCTGCCTGCCTGCCTGCGTGCGTGCGTGCGTGCGTGCGTGCGTGACCCGGCACGCGTGTTCATATTAATAAATAAGGGTACGTCTTTTTGGGGGAAACCCGAGGAAGTTTTTTTCAACTATTACAAAGTTTGCGTCGCGTCGCGGAAAAAGTTTCGTCACGTGTTCGTCGTTTGCGATTGGAACCGGTGTCTTAAGATGCCGCCCGTCTCTCTGCCGCCGCAGGTCGCACGTTTCCGCAGCACGCTTACTTCACGAAGCAGCTGGGAGCCGGTCAGCTGGCCCTCTTCAACATACTGAAGGCGTACTCGCTGTGCGATGGAGAGGTCGGCTACTGTCAGGGCCTCAGCTTCGTCGCGGCCGTCCTCCTGCTGCACGTAAGTAGCCTGTCAGCGTTCAGCATCTAGATCTGCCTTTGGACATGTGACTACAGCAAATTTGTGCCGTTAAACTGTACCGGACGGAACCAAAAATTCAAAAGAAAAGAAAAAGAAGTGAAAAGAAGAAAAGAAGCCAAAGAAGTGTGACGCCACATTATTAGTTTTACTATCGAATTGAGGTCCGAAAAAGTTGACATGATATGCTGTTATTATTTACGCCATATATTGTATTATATATTCTGTAATCATAAGTATTGCTAAAAGTAATTAGTGCCTAATTAGTGGAAAGGCAAACGCTTAGTTGTTAATCTTGTCTTTTTGTCTTCATTTTGCACAGATGGGAAACGAGGAGAAGGCATTCTGCCTGCTAAAGTTCCTGATGTTTCGGGTGGGATTTCGCAGGCAGTACAAACCTGACATGAGTGCTCTACAGGTGCTTAACTGTTCATGTTGCTTGTATTGGTTAGTTACATAGAAAGATAAGTTGACCGCGTTTGTGCCCGTAGCTCTGTTCTAAGATGCAGATGTACCAGCGGCCCGACTCTTGGTGGCTGTTGTAGTTGACCAGTGTAGTGACATTAGCTAACCATGTAGCTCCTCTAGTTGACCAGTGTAGTGACATTAGCTAACCATGTAGCTCCTCTAGTTGATTCGTGTACGTGGGCTTTTCTTTGACAATTCGTAGCGGTTTTGTTGACCATTGTAGTGGGTTATTGTGACCGATTGTAGCAGGACATTGTTGGACCATTGTAGTAGCTTAGTTTGACTATTTGAGAGAGCTTTATTGATTGCTAGCCACTTAGTATAGTGCCAACTTTATAACGTGAGTTAATAGTAGTTGACAGTTAGCGGCTTATATGAGTTGGACCATTTCGCTTATAGACCAAATCGACTTTAATATAGTTGACCTATGTAGGTTCGACTTATATATGCTTCGACGCATATGTAGCCGACTTATATAGTTGACTATGTAGTTGACTTTATATTAGTTTTGACGACATTGTAGTGGACTTTATTAGTTGACCTATGTATTGACTCTTATATAGTTACCATTTTAGCGACTTTAATATAGTTGACCATTGATAGCCGACTATATATAGTCTGACCATTGTTAGCGACTTATATAGGTTGAACCCATTTTGTACGCGACTTTATATAGCTGACACAATTGGGTAAAAAAAGCCTCGACTTTATAGAGTTGACTATTGTACCCGACTTTATATAGTTTGACCATTGTAGTGACTTTATAATAGTCTGACGCTTATGTAGTTGACTTATATAGTTGAGCCAGTGTAGCCGACTCCTTATATAGTCTGACCATTGTAGCGACTTATATACGTTGACCATTGTAAGCGACTCTGTATATAGTTGACCATTGTAAGCAACTTTATATAGTGCGACCATTGTAGGCCTTTATATAGCCTTTAACTACTGTAGCGACTATTATAATAGTGTGACCCTTGTAGGCAACGTTATATAGTTGAACATTGTAGGACTTTATATAGTTGACCATTGTAGCGACTTTATATAGTTGACTATTGTAGCGACTTTATATAGTTGACTATTGTAGTGGCTTTGATTGACTGTGTGTGCCGTAACTCTGTCTGCAGATTCAGATGTACCAGCTGTCGAGGCTGCTGCACGACCAGTACCGTGATCTCTACGAGCACTTCGAACAGCACGAGGATTGCGTGCGTTCCCTCTACGCCGCGCGCGTGGTTCCTCACCGTGTTATCTCGTCCAGTTCCGCCCTCAGAATCGTCGGCCCAGCGTGTCGTACGGGTGAACCTTCACGCAAGATACGTGAGGCTGGCGAACCTGCAGGCCTCCTGAGACGTGACAGCCCTGCGAGATGGGGCGGGCCTCATGAGACGCTGGGGTCCTCACGAGACCAGGCCAGTTCTCGCAGTAGAGAGTAGTTTGTGTACTACTCTTAGCTAGTCAGAGTAGTTTGGAATGTGTCCACCATGCCGAGCAGGTTAATATGTACATTTTACCCGTGTGTGCGTGCCGTGCGCTGCCATGGAGCCCCGTGCCTGCCAGTTGTACACTCGTGGAGGCGTGAATGATGATTGATGATGATGATGATGATGATGATGATGAGTCCGAATGATGTGATGATGACGAACTGATCCTTAATCATCCCATTCATCCTATGATTGATTATGAATGAAAATAAATGAATGAAAGGCCGCACCCGCGGTCCCTCGGCGCGCGGTCCCGCACGCCAGCCCTCACCGGCACGTCGACACGCCACCCCAATCATCGCCCCCTCATCACTATACCAGGCTCGCCTCGACCCTCCATCCTCACGGCCGCTCCCAGGGGCACTAGGCAACCGACCCCACCACCGTCACGCGACCCGCACCCCCTGCCCCCTGCGGCTTCCATAATCGGCGCACCGCCGGGGGGCGCTCCACCTCACCTCCATGCCCTCCCACCCGTCTGACTCACACAGGCCACAACCGACCCACCCCCAACGCGCTTCGGCGCGACGCCGCCTATTCGCGTTCGTGACCTCTCACGCCAACGCGTGCGCCACCGATCGCCCTACAGCACGCCAAAGACTGCTAAAGCCTCATCGCGTGCCTGGTCACTCACTTGTCGGCCACCCGACATCTATCCTCCTGCCTACACATACACAAACGCATATCCCAGACCACCATAATTCTCACCACTCGTACTATACATCACACAGCTAACGCTGAGCGTCTCCGCACCTTAACCGTCTGACCATGGGACTGCATGCGCACGTACACAGCCCCGCGCCCCTTGCCTCTCCTCTCTCCCAGATTCTCGTTTTCCTTCACGGAATAAGAGGTGATAATATTCGGATGGCTGGTCGTGCCTGCTTGTGAACTCACCGTGAGCACTCGTAACTGCAGCTGTAGCAAATTCGAGAGCCCGTCATGGACCTTCTGAAACTGTCGCTGCCAAGCATGGGAGGTATACGACTGCGACCAAGGACTATTTACCATACAGAGTGCTGGGACTCTCATTGATTACAATAGCTAGATTGACTCCTATCCAGTAGCGTCAACTTAGATACGCCTACTGTAATAATGTATGTAATGTTATACTACATCTTATGTACTATAGTAGTAATATGTGCAAAAATTGTCAATTAAATTTCTTTAACTTTGCAAATGCAAGGCTAATTGCTGTCTGAACAATCTTGTTTGACCTGAGCACTGAAGAGCAAACAAAGAACTGGAAAATAGAAGACTGCGAAAGAGGTCTGCTCTCACCTTATGCGCCTATTGTAAGATCATAAGAACGCGGCGGGGGGGCGGGGGGGGGGGGGGGTGGGGGGGGAGGGGCGGGGCGGGGGGGGGGGGTCCTATCATTCCATTACCAAACTATATTCATTTCACGTTCATTGATTCTTGGCTGTTTCATTATGCACCACAATAAACCTTCAGACCACGACGAATAGCCAGGTTTTTCGAATTTCCATTTACTACGTGTATAACATTCAGCAATGACCAGCAAATTACATTTTACGTGCTGCCCCTAGTATATGCTACACATGTCGCCAGTGACCGACTCTTTGCATTATGTCGTATCCGGAACAACTACCGCCCGCTGGACAACCTACCCCCGGGCACAACCTACCACCCGGACAAGCCTGCCACCCGGACCTTACGCGCCCTAGCGGACAACTACCACACTCCGCCGGACACACCTGCCACCGCCCACGACAACTGCCGGCTCCCGTAGGACACATACCCCCCTTAGGACTCAACTACACCGGATACTGCCTACCCGCGACAACTGCCCCCTAGGACAATTACCCCTAGGACAAACTGACCACCCGGACATAACTGCACGCGACACTACCACCAGACAACTACGTATACCCCCCCTAAGACAACTAGTACCACCCGGAGCGCGGCTACTCCCCTAGGGACGATTACCCTAGGACAATTACCCACCCAGGCAATACCACCCCGGACAATTAGACACCCACACAACTACCACACAGACAACTAGGACAGAGGGCCTCACGGAGATGCCATTACCTCCGCCAGAATGTAACATGTATGTGTTACGAGCTGGCCCTTGCTGCGCTGGCTGGCTGCTGGTCGCCTAAACGCGCTAAGATCGATCGGCGCGAACACACACACACGCTAACACAACGAACAGCACTAACACACAAACACACTAATGACCGAGAGCCGATCACATAACCTCTTCCAACTCTGTTGGGCCGGAGTTAATTAAACGTTTTATATTAACATATGATAATAGTCGGAGGAATACATAGCATATTAGTTTATACAGCATGCAGATAAGATATAGCTATATGTGTGGTGTATTAACTAGATGTTAATTAATTTATAGCAAAATATGTGGCTCCTAATCAACGCTTTTTTGCAAACGTTCCACTAGCGCGCAAGGAAAGAGGCAGGGCTAGAGGAGAACGTGGGAGGTAGGGGGTGAGAAAAGCGGAAGGACGCGAGAGAAGGAGGAGGCACGGTAGCTTTAATATAAGCCGGGCGGGCGCCTCTCTCCTCTCTCCCGTACCTACTACTGCACTTACTAAATGATCGCCACTGCGCCTGTTGCCCTGTTGTATATTCGCCTCCGACGCTCAACACCACCAACCCCTCCTCCCCTCCTCTCCCGAAACTCCCGCAACACACCCTACTCCCTCCCCCAACTCACGGCCAGCCAGCCAACCTTCCTCCCCATCCGTTGACGCCACACCACCACCAACCCTCCTCCCTCCCCAAACTCACGCGGCACAACCAACCCTCCTCCCTCCCTCAACTCACGAAGCACCACCACAAGCCCTCTCCCTCCCGCTCCCCAAACCTCGCGCACCCCTGGCTACGCACCAACCTCCCTCCTCCATACACGGCAGCCACCAACGCGCCTTCTCTCCCCACTCGACCCACCAGAACTCACGCGCAGGCACCAACCCTTCTTCCCCGTCCCTGCTCACGCCCTCGTGGCACATCGCAACCCCTCCTACGCTGCCGCGCACTCAGCCAAACCTCCTCCCTCCCCAAACTCACCGGCACCACAACCCTTCTCCTCCCCAACTCATGCACACCAACCTCCTCCCTCCCACGACTCGCTGCGCACCAGCAACCCTCCTACCTCACGCTCACCACCAACCATCCTCCCCTCCCCCCAACTCAACGCCACACCAACCCTCTCCCCTCCTACGCTCCACGCCACCCCAACCTCTCCCCTCCTACGCTCACGCCAACCACAACCTCCACCCTTTACGCTCACGCCACCCAACCTCTCCCCTCCTACGCTCACGCACAGCAACCTCCTCCCTCTTACCTCACGCACCACAAACCATCCTCCCTCTACGCTCACGCCACACCAACCCTCTCCCTCCTACGCCTCACTACACACAACCCTCCTCCCTTCTACGCTCACGCCACCCAACCCTCCTCTCCGTCCTACGCTTCACGC